TTCCGCTCTCGTTCCGATTCCGCTCTCGTTCCGATTCCGCTCTCGTTCCGATTCCGCTCTCGTTCCGATTCCGCTCTCGTTCCGATTCCGCTCTCGTTCCGATTCCGCTCTCGTTCTGTTTCTGCTCTCGTTCTGATTCTGCTCTCGTTTGTTTTTTACAGCCAGATAAAAAAAAACCCAAACCTGATCCTGAAGAGTCACCTGGTGCTTTAATTTAACACTCGACGTCTGTCCGATGGGTGACAGCGATGACGAGTTCGACCGCAGGAGGAGGGACAAGTTCAGGAGGGAGCGGAGTGACATGGAGAGATCGAGGGAGCGGGAGGAGAGGAGGAGGGACGACTGGCCGGACAGGTGCGCTCACCTGGGCTTCAGGGTGGTTCCAATTTAGAACCTGTTGTTGTTCTTGTGTCTGTGGTTTACCTGAACACACATGGTGGGGGTCTCAGAGGGTTCAGGATCAGTCCTTGGCTCTGAATTTCTTAGAGTCCTTCGGTGTTGTTGTGGGTCAAATTAGTGTGTCTGTTGTGTTTCAGGGACTGGGACCGTGGCAGGGAGAGGAGGAGGGACTATGATCGGGGGCGCAGAGAGAGGTTTTCTCCTCCACGTCACATCAGCCCTCAGCACAAACGCATGAGAAGAGACTGGTGAGGTTGTCCGAGTGTCTCTGTCCGTGGGACATGCCACGTTCCTCGTTCTCATCGTCCTGCTGCTTGGGTTGTTTCAGGGACGACCACCGGGGGGAGCCATACCGCTTCGACTTGCCCTATGGAGGAGGAGGAGCTCCATTTCCAGGGGCGGGGCCTCAGGGCTGGCACATGGACTTCCCCCACCTTCACCCACATCATGGAGGACACCCACTGCAGACGAGGTGAGTCCATGACTCTGTCAGCAAGACAGGTCCACCAGGCCGACACCCCCCCCCACCACCACCACCACCAGGCCGGACCGACCCCCCTGCAGACCTGACAAATACCAGTCCATCTGCGTGAATACCGTGTTTCCTTCCTGACTCGTTTGTCAGCTGATGTTTCAGTTTCTGCTGCATGGTGGTCCACACTTCATGTTCTCCATGTTCCTCAGGCTGGGGATGATGGATCCAGACCTCCCACCTCCAGGTCCTCCCTCCATGAGGAGCTTTAAGGTCAGAGCAACACTTGAACCACCATCATGAGAGAACGGCCATTCTTCAGCCATAACATGTCTGTCTCCCTCTGTCTGTCTGTCTGTCCCTCTCTGTCTTCAGGAGTTCCTGTTGAACATGGAGGACAGCGTGGACGAGACGGAGGCGGTGAAACGTTACAACCAGTACAAACTGGACTTCCGGCGCCAGCAGCTGCAGGACTTCTTCCTCCAACACAAAGACCACGAGTGGTTCCGCTCCAAGTACCACCCTGATGACATCACAGCAAAGAGGGCGGAGTCTCTGGACGCCCTCAAAACCAGACTGAGCGTCTTCCTGTTCCTGTTTGACAACAACTGGCTGGAGAACATGGCGCTGGACATGGACCACGCCCCCGCCATCATCAAGCTGCTGGATGCAGGTCAGCAGGCCGAGGCAGGGGGTTCTGGGTAATGCAGTCCTGGGACAGAGGGGTTCTGGGTATTGCAGTCCTGGGACAGAGGGGTTCTGGGTATTGCAGTCCTGGGACAGAGGGGTTCTGGTTATTGCAGTCCTGGGACAGAGGGGTTCTGGGTAATGCAGTCCTGGGACAGAGGGGTTCTGGGTAATGAGGTTCTAGAAGTCTGTCGTGTGTTTCTGTGCAGCTGTGATAAAGATGGAAGGAGGAACAGACTTTGACCTGCAGGTTCTGGAGGCTCAGTCCGGTCCTGCACCTGGAGGTGCTGATGGGACCGTTGGAGCTGCAGGTGAGAAAGATCAGAGTGGTCCCAGTGCCAGAATCGATACTGGTCAGAACAAATCAGAGACGGCTCCAGGACTGACAGAGATCAACAGAGAGCCACCTGAGAAGGTCAGAATCAGAACCAGGATCAGAACCTGAGTCAGAACCAGGATCAGAACCTGAGTGTGTGAACCGAACCATCTGATGATCCCAGAGTTTGATGTTTCAGATCTGTGAAGACGCCGAGCACAATGGAAAGGAGGAGGAGGAGGATGAAGAGGAGGAGAAGAAAGAGGAAGAGGAAGAGGAGGAGGAGGAGGAGGAGAAGGAGAAGAAGAAGGCAAAGAAGGTGAGTTTGTTTTATCCTTGCTGATATTTTACTAAATCCAGCTTTAACTCCTCCTCTTCCTCTTAGACCAAGAGGAGGAAGCGCAGCCTGTCAGCTGACAGCGGAGAGGGCAGTGCCTCCGACTCTGACTCCTCCCACTCTGATGGGGAGAAGGAGGAAGAGGAGGATGAGGGAGATGATGGTAACTTCAGCAGACGGTTCAAGATGAACTTTTTTAACGTGAGACTTCATGAACGTTCAGGTTTTTATCGTGTTTCAGAGCGGCATAACGAACGAGGGAAGGAAAGGGAGGCGGAAGCTCCGCCCAGGCCCCGCCCACTTCACCTCACCACCTCCCTGTTCATCAGAAGCATCCCACCTGAGGTGTCCAAGGAGGAGATCACAGCTGTGAGAAAACACACACACAGGTTGTTGGTTAGATTCCACGGGTCAGCGTGTGTTTGTATAAAAACTGAACGTCGAGACGTGTTTCTATGAATCAAATCTGTTAAAGAGGAAAAACTGAATGTTCTGATAAAATCCAGAACCGCCCTCAGCTCTGAAGGACTGCTGACGAAGCTGAAACTAACCTGAACAGAATGAAACATCAGCTGGACTTGTGTCGTGCATTCAGCAGTAGCTGAGCTAACTGACGGTACGATGGCTCCGCCCACCAGGAACTGTAACC